AATGCGCCCGACAGTACTATCTGCGTGTGTGGCTTGGGGCACTGGTAGTAACCCAGGTGTCCATCAATGGGCAGGGGCCACAAGGGAGAAAGGAACCAGATAGGCATACAACAGTACAGATACATCCCAAAAAAGGGTGAGTGGAAAAAGAAAAACAGAATAAGATCCTTAGCACAATACCATCCATATATGCATATAAAACAAATCTATCTATTTTTAAAAGATACATTTGGCCGGGCGCGGTGGCTCATGCCTGTAATCCCAGCACTTTTGGAGGCCGAGGCAGGCGGATCACCTGAGGTCAGGAGTTGGAGACCAACCTGACCAACAGGTACCCAGTAGAAACCCCGTCTCTACTAAAAATACAAAAATTAGCCGGGCGTGGTGGCAGATGCCTATAATCCCAGCTACTCGGGAGGCTGAGGCAGAAGAATAGCTTGAACCCAGGAGGCAGAGGTTGCAGTGAGCCAAGATCGCACCATTGCTCTCCAGCCTGGGCAACAGAGCGAGACTCCAAAAGATACATTCATGGGATTATGAATCAGAGTGATGCCTATCTGGTCAGGAGAAGGCATGAAAAGGAGTGGGGATTGAGGATGAAGCAAAAAAGTTAAAGCAAGAGACAGGGTCTACATGGCCCCTGGACAGAGGAGTCCGAAGAACTTGACACCCAAGGTTCCCAAGCAAGGAGGGAGGAAGGAAGGGAGAATATACACCTACGCAAAGGGGATGCAAAAGGGATCATGAGCACAACCGTGGCAGCACCTGGGGGCCCTTAAGAAATCCTAACTCCTGGGTGCCACCCCCAGAGGTTCTGATTTAATTGGTCTGGGTGCAGCCTGGGAAATGAGATTGTCAGAGCTCCCCAGGTAAGCACAATGCGAACTAAATACTGCTGCAGCAGTCTTCCAGTCCTGGCTCTGCCACTGACCGTCTTGGTGGTTCTAGGCTCGTCACTTTCCTTCTCGGAACTCTGGATTCTTTATCTAGAAAGGGCACCCCAGGGTCTGGCCCATAAATGCAGCACTCTCTGCTGCAGCTGGACTCCATGCAGGAGGATACTGGGTTGGGCCCACAGTTCCACCAGGCAAAAAAAAATATGTGAGGCCTGCGAGCCCTTTTTTATTTCTGAGACTTTGGCTCAAGATCGAGGGCAAATAAAACACACCCCAGCCCCACAGATGGGGTGGATGCTTCTTAGACAAGGATTGCCAGATGAAATGCAGGATGCTCAGTTACATGTTTTTATTTAATTTATTTTTTTGAGATGGAGTTTTGCTCTGTCACCCAGGCTGGAGTGCATTGGTGCCATCTCGGCTCACTGCAACCTCGCCTCCCAGGTTCAAGCAATTCTTCTGCCTCAGCCTCCCAAGTAGCTGGGATTACAGGAGCCTGCCACCAGGCCTGGCTAATTTTTGCATTTTTAGTAGAGACGGGGTTTCACCATGTTGGCCAGGCTGGTCTCGAACTCCTGACCTCAGGTGACCCACCTGCCTCGGCCTCCCAAAGTGCTGGGATTACAGGCGTGAGCCACTGCGCCTAGCCACATCTGAATGTCTGATAAACACTTTTTTTTTTTTGCATAAGTACGTCCCAAATATTGCATGGGATATGCTTGTACTAAAAAATTTTCCTAATTAGCCAGGCATGAGCCTGTGGTCCTGGCTACTTGGGAGGCTGAGGCAAGAGGATTCTTTGGCCCCAGGAGGTCGAGGTTGCAGTGAACTGTGTTCATGCCACTGCACTCCAGCCTGAGTGACAAGAATGAAACCCTGTGTCAAAAAAATTTTTTTTCCTTGTTTATCTGAAATTCAAATGTAACTGGGTGTCCTATATTTGTATTTGCTTAGTTTGACAACCCTATTTACCCAAATGCCACTTTTTTTTGTTGGTTTTCAGGCTTTATCAGGTGCGACCTGATTGTGGTGAGGGAGGAATGAAGGGGTCTCAGGGGTTTTCAATTCTAGAATTTACAACTGGGAAGCTCTAAAGGAACCATGTCAGCCCCTTGTTCCCTGCGATGGAAAGGAGTTCAGAGTGCTCAGGACAGCACAGAAACTGGCTGTCTCTTTACGTATCCATTGGGTACCTTGGACACCACCTTCAGGAAGCCAAATCCTCCCAGGTATTGGGAGATTGCGGGTGGGATTTTTGATGTTCTCATGGTGCCTCATCCTGTCCTGGAAACAGCAGGGTATTTGTCTCCTGCACTTAAACCGTACAAAATCATGACTGCTTAGCTTCTTATGTTATTGTAACGTTTTTCCTGATTATAAATCATTGTTATCTTGGAAAAAAAAAGTCACTCATAATCCCTTTACCCAGATGTAACCAATGACAACTTGCTTTTCCTCTGGGAAGAAAATAAACACTCATTGAGCCTCAATCACGTGTCAGAAACTTCCCCTCTGTTATCTCATATAACCTTCAGAAAGGACAATAAACCTTATTGCTCTTTCTGACTGTAAAAGCAATACAAGCTCTTTATATATATGTATTTTTAAAAGGTGACTCAGAGATATAAGTAAAATTCACCCATGCTCTTATCACCCATGGATGAAATTCCTTCTAATCCCATTTTCCTCTTTTATGTTTGTGTTTCCTGCAGATCATATGACGCAGAGAGAAAAAAAAAAAAAAAAGAACAGAATAATTCTGTGATCACTGTCCTGTGGCACCTGTGCCAGGTACTTTCCATCAATGAGCACAGCTCAGGGATGACCTGTAGATAAGGGAAGCTGAGGCTCACGTCTGCCATGTCACACTGACGTTCCAGCAGACTCTACCTCTCCCTTCCTAGAATGTTGTAGCAGTTCAATAAGGGTTTGTTGAATAAGGAAATGGAGTGGGGGGGGAGTTCACCTCACAGATTTATGCAGCCTCATTAAGTCATCAGAGGCTGCTTCCAATTTGTATTTTTTAAAAAAAATCCGAATCCACTTGAGCTGATTATGGAGTGGCTGTGATTTCTTGGCTGTTACTCAGAGACATGGGCTGCGAATGAGCAGGTGAATGAGGTGGGATTGCTTCCCTGCTGGATAGGAACAAAGAGCTCCAAAAAAGATGATGGGAAATCTAGGTTTCAGAAACCTGTATCTCCTGGAGGTGAAATAACAAAGCCTTTCATGGAGAAGAGCATGAGGGGACACAGTTAAAATGCCCAAGTAAGGCTCCAGCTTGGAGGGTGGGTAGTTCTTCACAATCTGGTCTAAGCCTGGAATTTGGACACATGCTCCGGCTCACTTACAAATGGGCAGAGCTTCTTATTTCTTAGCTGTTACTTCTTGAGTGCCTTCTCTGTGCCAGGAACTGTGCTGCATCCCTTTTAGACATCATCTCATGTAACCTTATCAGTAATCCCATGGCGTGGGTGCTATCATGAGTCCATTTTGCAGATGAAAAAAAAAATAAACTGAGGCACAGAGAGGTTCAGTCACCTGGCCAAGGCCACACAGCTGGCAAATGGAGAGTCACTTCCAGAACAGAGGTCTATGTGATCCAACACCCTGTTCTTGACCACTCAGATGTTCTACTGTCTCCCTACTTCTGTGGGTTGGGGCATAGCTTGGATGCATGAATCTTTCCTCCTTGCCTAATGGTGGGCTAATGAAGGGGATGAGGTAGAGGAGCAAGAAGCCCAGGCCAGGGTTCTCCCACAAGATGCAGCTGAAAAGCCAGAAATAGCTCAAACATTCAGATATACCAACTCTGGTCATCCAGCTCATGGGATACTGCTTAGCACACTTAGCAATAAGAATGAACAAACTACTGCTACAGCAACAGTGTGGATGAATCTGAAAAATACGATGCTGAGATAAAGAAGCCAGATACCAATGGGTGAATACTGTGTGATTCCATTCACATGAAGTTCAAAAACAGGCAAAACTAACCTATGGTGAAAAATCAGAAGAGTGGCTACCTCTGGAGAAGAGAAGGCTTGACTCAGAAGGATCAACTCTGGGGTTATGGACAGGTGTATCAGTCTGTCAACATCTGCAAACCTTTAGATCCATGCATTTCAGCAATGCATGTAAGCCACACCAAGAGCTGTGTCCAGATTCCCTGACAAACCTGCTCTCCCTTTACTCCCCAAGAGTTCGAGGCTGGGCTGGTTCCGGTGCAATCTGTAGGTTTAAGCGCTAAGGTCTCAAACAGAAAGCAGATGAGTGGTTGCCCAGGCTGGAACGAGGGGACAACAGGGAGTGGCTGCTTAATGGGTAGGGTTTCCCTTTGGGGTGATGACATGTTTTAGAGCTGGATAGAGGTGATGGTTGCCAACTATATGCCACTCAGTTGTACACTTAAAAATGGTTGCTGTTCTATTACGTGAATTTTACAATTTTTTAAAAAAGCTCTTGAGATACAGGCAGCAAACTTCTACTCCCATGAATTCTCACCATCAGGATTTGGGCATTAGCGGCTGCCTCCTCCGTGAGAATCGGGCTCACACCTGTCAGCCTCCCCAGCACCCCAAGCCCCTTAATGTGGGCCAGGGTTTGCCACACCTAACTCCTCTCTGCACGTGCCGTGGAGGTACTCCACGAGTGTTTATGATCAGAGCCTAAGTTTGACGCTGAGTGGGTGAATGAACGACTAAATGAGCAAATGGAAGTGTGTGAATGAATGCGCGAAGGAGCGAGCAAATGAATACATGTGCGAATGAGTAAATGAAAGAGTGAGTGAATGAATGAACAAATAAACTAGGAAATGAAGGAATGAGTTAGTGAATGAACCTGGGCCAGAGCATGGGTTCAAGCCGTGGGGGTCCCAATCCTGGCTTTGCAGCACAAATAATTTAACCTCTTCATGCCTCAGTTTTCGCATCTGTAAAACGGGAGGGTAGGTTGTGAGAAATAAATGAGTTAAAAGGCGTAAAGCGCTTAGTGCCACGCCCGGCAAAAGGAGCCCTCCGTAAGTGACGGTGGCTACTAATGAAACACACACCCACGCGCAAGGGTACCGCTGCCAGGTCCCCAGGGGGCGCCGCGCCCGCGACCTACCCAGAAGCTGCACCTCGTCGGTGATGCCGTAGACGTCAATGAGCGCCCAGAGCGGGCCGCCCACGGCCACGCCGCAGTGGAAGAGCACCGGCTCGCCGTCGTTCACGCTGTAGAACACGCGGCCGTGGCGGTCCGCCCAGTAGGCCAGCACCGTGTCGCGCAGCGCCAGGTTCTCGGGCAGTGCCTTGGCCCAGTAGCCGGGCCGCGTGACCAGGTCGGGGCAGGCGTACTTGGGGATGTCCTGGGCGCTCATGAGCGACGGATCGTGCGCAGTGAAGCCGAAGCGCAGCGCGCCGCTCCAGCCCGGGCGCACGGCCACCAGGCGCAGCCGCACCTGCTCGTACAGCCGGATGGGCCTCTGCGTGAACGTGACGCCGTTGCAGAAGCTGTTGCGCCGCGTGGCCCGGCGCGAGTGGCCGTCCAGCCGCACGTTCTTGCCTTTAGCCTGCGCGTGGAAGCGCGGCGCCTCGCCCAGGACCGGGCGCCGCTCGGGACCGGGGCCACAGCACGGCCGGGTGGCCAGGAGGCGCGCCGGTGGGCTCGGGTCTGCGGAAAGAGACAGGCAGCACGGTTAGGCCTCCTTCGAACTCCTGCGGGCCCCGATTGGTCTTTATTTAACAGTCATTTTCATTTGAAATTCCATCTTAATTGGACTGGTTATTGATGAGAAGGTTCCAGGCTACACCAAACGGCGACCGGCCCTAACCGGCCCTAATCTCTTTGCCACAGCAGTCACCATACCCATTCCACAGATAAGCAAACCAAGGTTTAGTGCGTGTGTGGTGAAGCACTAGAGCTGTTTCACTGTCAGAGGGGCCAACACCAAGAGCTTGTCACGACAGCCAGCCAGGGGCCAAATCACTTCTCCATCCCCATCAAATTCCTCCAAATCTACAAGGACCTCCCGGAGCCACCTCTGGGCCACAGAGCGCCTCCAAAAGTCCTGGATTCTTGGGGTTAGTAGTGGAGATATTTGGCTGCTTTTCTCTGTGCAGAGCATCCAAATACCTCCCCTGCTTTTATTCAAAAGCTAAGACAGGTCAGTCAATAGAAACGGCCATGGCAGCCTGATTCCCAGCTCTGGCACTTCCTAGGTGGGAGGTATGGGGCAGAGCTGTCACTTCTCTAGCTTGTCTTTTTGCCTGGAAAACGGGGACATGACTCCACTCACACAGCTGCTGAAAGAGAATGTGGATGAAGTCCCTGGAGTACTACCTGGCACAGTGTGTGTGTGTAACAGAAGTCATTAATCATGATATTATTACTGATGATATATATTACTGAGGTTCCAAAGCACATCCAAGCCAGGATTCAGGGACTTCCCCTCCCCTCAGCCACAGAAAATGAAGGCATTGCTTATGAGCAACGTTGGCTTTTCCGGAACGGACACCTTTGGGGTTCATTTCTAAAGACATTCTGCTTTGAAGGACCTGGGGAATCCCGGGGTGGTCTTTCAAAGGACCTGGTCACAAAGCCAGGTGGCTCAATGTCAAGTGGGATGCTTCCTCTCTCCCTACCTTTCCTCCTCCCATCCTAGGGGCGGTTCCTGGGGGGCTCTGGGATCCTGGGGGGTGGCAGGGCGGGTGATTACTACATGAATCTCTGCTGCTCTTCACCCAGCAGCTGACTACAATTTACATGGCAAATTCTCACAAACCACAGGCCGCCCAAGGCACACAATGAGAAGAATGGCGACCCCAGGAATGAAAGACCACTCCTCCCACGCCCAGCCACGGGGTGCACTGTGCTCTGGGCGCACCACAGAGTGCAGGCGGGGGCGGGGTGGTTCGATGAGTGCTGAGCCTGATGGGAGCTAGGGCAGGGGAAAATGAAGAGGGAGAGGCAATGACGAGGCAAACAAGACATGGAGCCCCTCCCCAGGCCCTGGAAGAAGGAAGGCCCAGTCACGGGGAGAGGAAATCATGCCTGGAAGCTGGGAGGCCGCTCTCCAAACAGAAGCTGCTGGCCCACAGAAGACAAAATATAAGGAATAAAAAAGCCAAGGTTCCACATTAGAAAGGAACATAAGGGGCTTCAGTCATTCATTCACTTAACACATATGAAGCGAGTGCGTAGTATGCACCAGGCACCATGCCAGGCACTGGGAATACAGCAATCACCAAGACAGACAAGGTTGTTGCTCTGATGGAGCTGACATTCCAGTGGGCAAAATCAGACGATAAAAAACATACTCTCCCTGGTGGGAAGCATTACAGAGTAAAACTCAGTCAACGAGGCAGGGCAGAGAGAGGTGTTTTCTTAGGACTTTGCGGAAGGGCCTCCCTGATGAGTGACTTTGGAGCCGAAGCCTGAAGGAGGGAAGCAAATGAGCTGGGAGGGTGGTTGGGGGAAGATCATTCCAGGTAGGAGGTACAGCAAGTGCAAAGGCCCTGAGGTGTGGCTGAGAAATGACAAGGAAGCCAGTGTAGCCAGAATGGTGGGAGCAAGGAGGGAAGCGGGTAGAAATGAGATCAGAGCTGGGGTGGGGAGTGGGGAGAGCCTGTTGTTTGATTTTTCTTTAACCATTTTACTTTGAATGCGATGAGACCTTACTGAAGGTTTAGAGGAGAGACATGATAGGAGTGCCCAGGCCACGGTGTGCAGAGGGGACTGCTGGGAGGCGGGGGCAAGGATGCTCAGGCCAGCAAAGCTCCTGGATTATTCCATGGCAGAGATCATGATGGCTCCTATCGGGGGTGGGTACCAGTAAAGCTGGTGGGAAGGGGTTAGATTCTGGATATGTCTTGAAGGTAGTACAGCTTTGAAGGTTTTCATTCATTTTTATATAGGAAAATAGAAAACATTCAGTCTACTTGCTTTGGACATTTCAACTATATTCAATAGATAAAACAAATTGAAAAAGGCCTTTTGGTTCTTTTTTTTTTTTGAAATGGAATTTTTCTCTGTTGTCCAGGCTGGAGTGCAATGGCATGATCTCAGCTCACTGCAACCTCCACCTCTTGGGTTTAAGCACTTCTTCTGCCTCAGCTTCTTGAGTAGCTGGGATTACAGGTGTGCACCACCATGCTCGGCTAATTTTTATTTTATTTTTAATTTTTTTTTTTAGTAGAGACAGGGTTTCGCCATGTTGCCCAGGCTGGTCTTGAACTCCTGACCTCAAGAGACCCACCCACCTCGGCCTCCCAAAGTGCTGGGATTACAGGCGAGAGCCACCGCACCCAGCTGACCTTTTGGTTCTATAACAGACACTTGAATGGGAAGCAGAATGGTGGTAAGGACAGGGTAGGGAGATACCAGTAGTAGATCCCGGAGGGCAGGGGCTTGTCCATGCCATCTTTGGTTTCTCTGGGCTCAGCACACACCAGGCTTGATAAACACCAGTTGCTGCCTGTGTTACAGTGAGAGCTTGAGCAGACCTCAGGGATCGTCTTCTCCAACAAGCCCATTTTACAGATGGGAAAATGGGCCATCAGAGGGAGAGGGGTCTGCCCAAGCTCAAGGTCAGTCAGGGTCAGGGGAGAAAGCCCTTTCTTGGGCTCTTCTGGCCAGGCCACCCCTGATGCAGGGAGGCAGAATATGGAGGTCATTTTCATGCAAGAAGGGTAAGACCCGGGAGGGGTGGCTGAGCACCACCTCCCTCAGCGTTGGGCTGTGGTGAAGGCCTCCGCCTTTCTACACCTCCCACCACAGTTAGTCGTGGGGGCAGCTGCTGTTTCTGCCTGCCCAGTATCCATCCCTCTTTTTCTGGCTACTATGCTCCAGTTTTCCTTGGGAGATCTTGCTTTCCGCCAGCTAGTGGATTGACCTCACTCCAACTCTAGAGACTAGGGTAACCAATCAGATGATGGCAGACTTTTTGGCTAGGGGCGCCCTCTTCTGCTCTAAGCCAGGTTGAGCTGGGTTTCTGATACTAGCAACCAACAATGTCCTGACTGATAGAATCACGGCGCATTCAGACACTTCCTCTGGGCTGGTCATGTGTCATGCATTTCATCATTTAATCCTAGTAGTGTCTCTATGTAGTAAGGACTACTGTTATCCATCCCCAGCATGGATGAACAAATGGAGTTTCAGAGAGGTCGAGTCACTTGCCTAAAGTCACACAGCTGGTTTAGTTAAGGGCAGAGATGAAACCAGGGATTGAAGCCAGGTGTGTGTGATCCCAGCTCTGTTTGTTGTCGTTGTTGTTTGTTTGTTTTTTACCATTTTACCATAGTCTCTCTGCCTTTTAGAAACCAACACAAGACTGACAGAAGGGCTGGGCCATAGACCCCTAAGGCAGGAGAGGGAGACTAGAGGCTGCCTATTGACTTCCTTCATCCCTGGGCAGAATTGCCAGGCACTGGACTGGCACAGGTAGCAGACAAAATGTTCATTCCACTGCTCATTCATTTCTTCATCCAGTACTCCTTCCTGCAGATCACACACATCCTGCCTTCGTGGAGATCTGAGTCTCTCCAGGTCAAGCAGACACACAGCTGAATGCCCAATGACAACAGGCATGATAAAGACCATCTCAGGCGATGGCACTGGGGGGACTAGGGACCTGCAGGAGGCCCTGGACTCAGCTAGGGGCTGGGAATAGTGGGATGCCCATTGAGCCAGGTCTCGAGGGAGGAGAGGGAGCCAAGGGGAACGGTAGGGGCAGAAGCAGGGAGAGGCTGGAATTTGGAGGGAGGGTAAAGTGATATGGTAGGTGTGGCAGAGGGTGTGCCAGGTTGGGCAGTCACTGCCTTGCAGAGGTGAGGGCGAGGGTGCTGCAGACATCACAGGAACCAGATGGGAAGGCCCTAAATGCCAGCCCAAGAGACTCAGACTGCACTGCACGGGCAAGAGGGAGCTACTCCAGGGCTTTTGGCAAAGCAGGGCCACGGCCACACCCACACTGCCTGTCAGGGAGGGGCCTCCAGGGCAGCAAGGAGGGTGGACAGAGTCAGGCTATGGGCCATCTCTAGAACCACGAGGTTAAGAGGAAGGGACAAATCCCAAATGAGCAGGAGAAGCAGCACCGGGTGTAGACCATCGGCGGAGGTAGCTCAGGGACAGCAGAGGCCTGTGCTGTCCATGCTCACGGTGGCCTTGTACAAGGCACTCAGCTCCTGGTGCAGCTTCGCCCAGTGCCCAGCAGGCCAAGGCCCCCTCCAGCTGCCAAATCCTCCAGGAAACATTAAATATGACCACAGATCAAAAGCCCTTCTGAGCACCAGTGGCCATGGCCAGCCTTATTTGATGATTTTTATCTCCCCTCCCCTTCACTGTTGTTTTCTGACCTCATCTCTCCGTCGGAGAGTTTCTTTACAGAAGGGCTTGGGAATCCCAAGAGATGTTCTTTAAGAGCGGCCTGCAATTTAAATGAATACTGGGGTGGAGAGAAGTACTGCCTTGTTACTATAGGGGAAGTTTCCTGCAAAACCAACTATATGTTAGGATAAAATGCGGCCAAGAAACCAGCGAAGTTTACATATTTGTTTAATCTTGATTATATGATCTGACTTCCTTCAGGGAATAAGAGATAAACACTCTTATTTCCAGCCCCCCACCGCCGCCCCCCGAGACCAGAGCTCTGACGTGAGATAAAGAAAACT